AAAATATCAAAAAATATTATTACACATATTATAATTTTTATTTTATTATTATTATTAGTATATTTATTTAAGAAATCAATAAAAACGGTAACAGTTTTTTAGATGTAGAATAAATAAGATGCTTGATGCCCTTAAAAGTTTTCCTTTTTTATTATTCATAAAAAATTCATATTTATCTGTTTAATGTTATTTATAGCTGCTTAAGCTTATTAAATTGTATTATTTACTTTGTTCACATTAAGTATTAAGTATCGCTTGAAAATAATCAAAAATTACAACTTTATAGGTGATAAACTCTCATATTACCTAATTATAAAATCTTTACCTAAAATGTTTATTTCTTTTTAACTTCCCACTGCATATTGAGATAATTGGTTGACCCAGAGGGTATAAAATTGTAAACATTTCTAAAAATACTTTGCCTATGGACTTGACATTCTATTCATGCTGCAATTAGTTTACTTTATATAGAATATATACATATATATAAGGAAGTAAGCTTAACAGAAAAATATATTTAAATCAATGTATATTTATATAAATACTTTCTACTTATATATACTTACAAGAGATAGTAAAACTATCTAAGGGAATGGAATTAAAATTTAACACAAATTTATATTGGTCAAATTGTCTATTTGGCATATTGGTTTATTTTCGCCAATACTAAAATTGTATATAATTAATTAAATCTTCATAAAAACCCCCTTGAGTAATTCAGTGTCATTGTATATATCATTGTCATAGTTTAGTATCGATCACTAAGTAGCTTCAAATATACTCCGGAGATGGATGTGTGGGTTTACTGTGCTTGTTTGAGATATTGATTTAAGAATATAAGTTTCGGCAGTGACAAATATGCCGGCAATATACTGGAGTTATGGGCTTGTAGCCACAGAGATGGTTATGGGCCCATGGTGACAGTGCTCAAGTCTTGAAGTTCCAGTTTGTTGAATTCAATTAGTGACTGGAAGTCTGAACACAAAATTAAAATTAATTATGAGCTCGTTATAATTTAAAGCACGGCAAGTGCTTTGGCTAATGTCACTTAAAAAAAGAAAAAAATTAAAAAAAAATAAAAAAGTAACAAAAAAACTTGGAACTTGAGCATTGAAAGTTTGTGCAATCTTGGCTACTTGTGGATCAGTCATTGTTTTTAATTTGAGAAGCACAAGTTCTAAGTCTGGCACTTGCAATCCAAACAAATTATATACAGACTATAAACTAATTAAAAAAATTCGAATATTTTCTAAGACCACTGATGATAAGTACTTGATAATATTCGAATCAGCATTGTATGGTCAGCCAAATTTCAATAAATTAACTAAAATTTTTGTTGTTATCTTCTCAATTCTGTTTGAACCTTTCTAAAATCATTAGTATAAAAATAAAGAAAATCTATCAATTACTATTAAATTACTTTTTTAAACGCAACGACTGGATTGATGTGGAAGCTTTTGTCATATTTCTCTTCTCTTTCATGAATATTTTGATCCTTCTCCGCTTCTATCAAATATTAAATTCGAATTTTTAAATCAATTATTACGTATTAAAGAGACCAAAAGCACTTAACAAATGAATTAATTTGTAAAGTAAATTCTATTAAATTTAAAAAAAAAAAAAAAATAATAAATAAAATTAATAATATTTATGGCTTTTAGCCATGGAAAACCCAAACATTGTTGTTATTTAACTACATCTATAAAATTGGAGGTGATAAGTAAGAGAGCTCTATCACAAAATGCCATTACAATAGTTTACTATTATCAGATATTTTTTCCAAACATATATGTATTTTTTCATTTTTTTAAACGCTATTTTAGAATCTATATCAGCATTTATATTATATTTATTATATAAAACTAGGTATTTATATATAAATCCACAGGCATTAAGAATATCTGTAATATAAAAAATAAATAAGGAATCCATACCAATAAAATTAAAAAAAAACTTAAACGAAAGATCTTGTGAAACTTTACATGCAAGATCTATTATTTTATTAGAAGTCTTTGAAGCTGTATGGCAGGAAGGTAGGAATAGGCTTTCACAGAAACAATGAAAGCCAGACGTACAGGATGATATTCAAACTTTAAGGGTCAAGAACCGAAAAAATAGAAGTTTTTAAATAGATGAAAAATTACACGGAAACAATGAAGGCAAAACGTGAATGATGATATTTAAATTTTAGTAATCAGAAACCGAAGAAATATATTGGCGCTTATTGAAGAAACCAACAGTTTATCAGGAGAGTGATGATGATAAAAAATAAAATGAAATGGGACAAAAATTTTAATATATTGATACATAAGTTAATACACCGCCCGTACGCGTAATAAAGTACAGAGAAGACACATGCTCATCCTCAGAGACGCCTGATGGATCCATCACCAATATGGGAACCGTGGTGTGTGATGCTGTACTTATTTATTTTATTTATTAAAATTATTAGATTATTTAAACAAATCAAGAAATTACAAATTTAGTTCAAACGGGCTCCTTATCTAATATTAGAATTACTGTTAAAGTTATAAGGAAAACTTTTCAATTTTAAATATTATTTAAGCAAAAACTTTACCGATCTAATAAACTTATAATTATAATTTGAAAAACTGTTATAAGAGCATTTTCAATACATCTTTATAAAGGTATTTAAGCTCTGTTAAGTACTTAAATATTTTTAAACTACGCGTTACTATATGAACCACTGTCTATATATTTAAGGGAACTTTTTTGCTCAATCAGTTTTTAATTGTAAAAACAATATTAATAAACATTTATTGTTTACATAGAAAATTTCGATAGAAAATAATAAAATTATTTCTTAGTACACATTTCTAAAAATATTTTTTTTCAAAAATCCAAGAGTACAGACACTATTTTCATTTAATTATTTCTAATGAAATTTTATATATATATATATATATATATATATAATATATATATATATAACAATAATAATATAGAAAAGTATTATAAGTAAAAGGCCCTAAGAAATGTTTAAACAATTACGAAAACGTTTCTCATGCCTAAAGTTTTTTGCCATCAGGCAAAATGATCAAAGCCTCAGAAAGTTTTCTAATTTCTAATCGGCTTTCATCCAATACTATTTAAAGCATATTGTATTATGAATGTCCATCCTTGGCTAACAGTAGGAACAAATTTTTAGAGAAGTACTTATAGCCCATATAATCATTAGTAAAAACAAAAAACCTGTTAAACTGCATAAAAACTTACCTAAATATACCTACTTTTTTTACAGGCGGTTCTTGAGTGAATAATCCATTAAAACATCAATAATTATTATTTAGGTGAGCCGGAAGAGAATCTGTCATTCAACCGATAGTCAGCATTTAACCAACTCATTAAGCTGGTGCGATCAATTAAACCAATTAAGCTGTTTTTAGAATTACATATAATGACATAGAATCCCTGCTAACTTTCCAAAATCGTATTAATTTTGTAAGAGTCTATTATTTTTTAAATATAAATGAACTATTAAATATAATTTGGATAGTGAAACCAGATTTAAATAGGGGACTAGTTTTAAAAAACAACCCAATGCCTCCCGGATTACACAATTGAAAAAATATGTTCACTATCACATATCTACTACCTGAGATATACTACCTGAGAGATATTAATAAAAAAGTAGTAAAGTTTTATTTCAGAACCCAAAGTATGGATAAGTATGAAACTGCTTTGAATTATATTTTTTCCAATCAACTTAACAAACTGCTTCATCATATTTATGAATCATAGAGGCAAAAGAAAATGTATTCAATTGACGTCCTAGAAGTGTTTTAATACCTTTCGCCGCTTTCTACCCGAATTAGGAAAGAAACTTATTAACTTGACATATTAAGACGGCAAGACAACTCCGAATTCAAAAGCGGAAATAAGTAAGGATATTTAAAAGTCCTAGATAACTGTTTTCATGATTCCATTTTACATAAGGATAATACTTTTTACATATATGTTAGCTTTTTGTTTTCGAAATTTATAGCATTTATTATCACAAACTTACTTTTTATTACTTCTATTACTTTCAAAGTAGGCTTTCAGATCTGACCTTATTATTTGTGAATGTCCAGCTCATAGTAGACAGCTCTTTCACGACTTAGATGGATGGTATTGTTATATCTCTTCTTAAATTCTGGAACAACAAACCTCAACTGTACTAAAATTTATCATCAACTGAAATATACAGGGTTAAAAATGAAGGGTATTCAAAATAAATCTACTCTAATCGTAGTGTATTCTGACCTTTATTAATAATAATACCATTACGATTTTTGAGTGAAAGTGAGCAATTGATTAATTTTGAAAAAGACTAGACCTATATACAAGCGATTGAAGCTAGTTAATATTGAACATATAAAACAATAACTTTAAAATATATTTTATATATTTTTAATTGACACATTTTAAAGAGTCTAGAAGAAATTGTTTATGACTCAACCTCGGATGTAAAAGACACGTTAAAACTTTTAGGGCCTAAGTCAAACTGTTATAACTACTAATGATAATGATGACCCCAACATCAATAATTTGTAAGTACAAAACTGTTTTCAAGTAGAAAAATTTACTATATTTACTAAAGAACAGTTTGTAAATCAAAAATCATTAATTTTTTCAAATAGCAATAAAATGAAATATCAGTTTGGATATCTTGGAAGTATAGTAAACCACGGATGGAACATTTGCGTTCGTTCAAATAGAATAGTTGTGATTTAAAAAAAATTCGGGACAAGGAACCAAAATTTTAAAAACTTATTATAAAACTGTTTTGGTCACAAATAAAGGAATAAAATATTTTGAAAAAATATATACAAATTTTTAATGTTTAATAATAAATAAAGAAAAAAGATTCTTGAGTGATTTTTTTATAAAAATGTCTAATATTTAATTATTGAGAAAAATAATTATTGAGTGATTTTCTTCTTTTATTTTTATTTTACACAAATTAAAAACTGTTCACACTAATTAATTTTACTTACTTTAATTAATTCAATAAAATAAATTTTTAAATTTAATTATAGAATTTCTTAGTTCCAATTTCTTTCCCCCAAAACCAAACACTTCAAAGCAGGATTAAAACAAATTTAAAAGTAATATTATTTTAAGCTGTATTTTTTTAACAAACTTTCTATTATATTAAAAACTATTTATGATTTTGCAAAAATTGTATTCTAAAAAAAAATTATTTTAATATTTTTGTTTAATTTTTAAATTTTTTAAGTTTATTAAAGCACAATTTAATATGAAAACAAGTAGAAAAGAAAACAATGAACACGTTTTTCCTTTTCGCAAATTCACGTTTTATTCCTTCTTGCTGGAGGGAAATAAGCGCAACAGGCACACCACCAACAGGCGCAACAGCTTCTTTTGTTAAAGTTTAACTACGTTTCAAAAATAACGTCCGCGACACAACAACTATGCGTGTTTAAAGCTTGATAACGACTGTTATGATTGAATCGTTGTCAACAACGAACAGAATATAAGGGAAGTAGTATTCGGATTTTGTTTTTGTTTTTTGTTTTTTGTGTTTGTTGTTTGTATATTTATTATTGTTCTTACTATTTGTTTCATCGCAGCGGTTGTTGTTGTTATTATTATTAGTACTATTAATATTGTTTCATATTCCATTATGGTAACCGTTGAGCTTTTTTTATTATTGTACTATTGCTCTCTCTGCATTCGTTTTGCTGTTGTCATTGTTGTTACTGTTGTTGTTGTTTTTTATGCATAACTGTTTATACTTATAAAATAGTTGAATTTATTATTGTTGTATTGAACTGATCCAACACGAAGCTGTATGCTCAGAGTCGAATTAATACCTACCCTGTACTCATGTGAATAAAATGTGTAGTAGTGCTTAAAAACAACAACAATATGAAGTAATTTACAATTGGTAATTATTAGAAAAATTCTTGCAAAGATAATGATTATGATGCTGATGATAAATCAGATGATGAAGAAAAGCATTTGGAATTTACGTATGTAAATTAATGAAACTCAACGTATCGAAGTCAGTGTAGCGCTTAAAAAATATATACATAAATAAAAATTATATTTGGAAATATATATTTTACACCGAAATTCATAATTTTGCAAACAACAAAAATGCGATATTTGTTATAAAATAAAATATAAAAAAATCCAGAAAAAATGTACGAACATAAAAGTCAAGTAGGGCTTTGGGTCAGTTGCCTAATGAACGTTGACTTTGAGCTTCACATTTGGCAGGACTTGAGTTCGATTCCTGGTACTTCCTGGTACTTAAGTATAATTAAATATAAGATTACTAATAATTTCAACACCACTGATGATGGATATTTATCAATACTCGAAACAGCTGTATGGTCAGCCAAAAATTCAATTAATTAAAATAATATAAAAAGAATTTTTGTTTTTGTAGATCACTACTGTTCGAAAAACTTCTTTATAAAAAAAAATATAAAAGCATAAATTTTGGATATTAAATTTTTAAATAAATTTAAGCTTAGAAAAAATAACAATGATAGATTTAAAGAAAAGAGAAATCAATACTACCGAAACAAATGAAGGCAATATTTTTTAAGAAAATAAAAACCGTGTTCCAGATTCAAGAGTATCGTAAAAATTGGGAAGCTTGAAGATACATACATCTACTAATAGTCAAAGTTTAATATAATAACGCCCACCGCATGCTTACTTGTACACAAAAAATTTATATATTTTGGTTTGAATTGAGTATATTTTATTGTTCACTGTTTCTACACCCTAGCTCGTAGCCCTCTGTTTGAACGACATTGCCTACTTCTCTTCTATAATCCCGTTGTATGATCGTGGTTACATAAAGTTTACTCTTAAATTATCTATTTAACCTAGTTGTTCTAACTTAATTTACAAGTACCCTCCTCTAAATCCATACACAATCTTTCTTCATGGCTTGGACACATTTACTTTATAAATGTTAAGCCTTTTGATAATCTACTTCATTTCTTTCCCTGTATTCTGGAATAAGATTCTCAGCCTCGGACCTGCACGGTGTCCTGCTCTGAATCTATTCTCTATTTTTGCCTCTTTGATTTGTAAACCATTTATATATGTATATATATCATGTGACATAGTCATACCCTAACTAATAAACCTTAAATATATAATGTAGTGCATACACTTCCACACTTCTAATTTAATGTAAGCATAATCTCAATTCGAAGAGACGCTTCTATTTTAATGTAAACATAAGATCCGTAGAAAAAAGGCTGGAAATGACGCCTGCAAATTGCAAACCCAGCATTAATGAATCTTTTGTGAAACATTGCCTTTCATGATAATGTTAAAATGCGAAGCTGGAAGTGATGTTTAGATCTTAAGGTTTAGACATACATAAGTTATTGTTTTCATGATATATATTCAATAAAAAGACAAATCAAACGAATCGAAGATAATTAGAAACGAAAGAAATATTGATTTTAATTTAAAAAAGTAGCAGTTCACACTACCGATGAATTTGACTTCTTTTAGAAGTCAAATGCATTTATATATAAATGCATATATATAAGCTTCTTTTATATTTATATATATATAAGCTTCTTTTTTTTCCAAGTACTGGATTTAAAATACGTCACAAACTTTCTTATATACATTGCTGTTCAAACATATTCATGCTGCTGTATGCAAATGAAGACTTTTAACTAATGGGTTAGCCAAAAGTTCCGTACATAAAGCGGGTATTACATATCATTCCTGAAAGTTTTTTGCACACTCGTCAAAGCAATTTAAAATTGCTTTCTAATCACGCGAAAAATAATCCGATGTTTCAGCTTCCACGATTTCAAACAGAATGAAATTTGCATGAAAGCCGAGAAAAATCTGATTGTATACGAAGAAACACGAGCAATATTTTGAGGAAGATTCAAAATATTTAGATTTCCGTCAATCTGTTCGTTATTCTTACAAATGTTGCCATTACACATGAGACTTGATTAAAATTTTGTGTTTCGACGCATCAAGTCAACATTTAAGAATGATGTATAATACCCGCTTAAGAACACCAAATAATATCGAGCAAAAAATTCTTACAGATATGAAGTTAAAAATTTTCGGATGTTGTATGTACTGGTTTTTTTGTTACAAATATCGAAATCTGCAAGTATCGTGTATATGCAAGAATCAAATTACTACTCTATTTCAAAATCGATAAATCGTTAAGTATTATATCTTATTTAAACAGTCCTAATATCTGACCAAACTTTTTTATAATTACTAAATATACATGGGACGTTCTGATAGTTTGCGCTTAAATATGAAACAAATACTTCATGACAAAAATATTTGTTAGGATTTTCTGAAAAATACTTAGAAACGTAACCCTAAAAATTATTAACTGATTTTATGTCCCACGCAGTATTAAACCACAAAAAAAAGCATAAAGGTTTCCATGAAGACCGTACAATAAGACAAAGTTGTCGCAATTGTAAAAGTTGAACTGATTGAACTTTTGTTGTGAATAGTACTAAACGAACTAAGCGACAACCACAAATAGTTATGTTTTGTAGTTCTGTTCTGTTCAGGGGGATTCTCTCAAAATTGTTTAAAATTATTTTTTTATGAATTAATTTAAAGTATTTGCTAAAATAAAGAGAATCATATATCGCATTTTGATTGTAAATCCGAATTAGATAAATATATTTTCATATATATAGTAGTTTATCTTAATGATACAGCATTTAACATCACTTTCACTATAAATTTACTGTCATTCATTTTCAACATTATTCAGATACTCTTAGTATTAAAAAATCGAAACATTTTAATATGTGTTAGTAAAAACCTTTGTAATACTTTATTAAAGCACTAATTTTAGCTGACATCTACATACTAGTATATATTAGCTTACGAAACTTAAAGAAATTGTTAGATTTTAATATAAACGATAAAATGGATCTGAAATTGTTGAAGTTTACTCCTACCATCTCGATTCCTAATTAATAAATAGTTATAAGTATAAAAAGATATATGGGAAAGTTTATTCACATTAATTTTCAACATTATTCAAATACTCAATGTTAGAAAATCATTATATTTAAATAAGTGTTAATAAAAACCTATGTAATGCTTTATTAAAGCACTAATTTTAGCTGACATCTACATACTTGTATAAATTAGCTTACAAAACTTTAAGAAATTGTTAGATTTTAATACAAACGGTAACGGACCTAAGATTGTTAAAGTTTACTCCAACCATTTCGAGATTGGATCTTCAATTACGTGTTAACATACATATATGTTTAGTATATAAAATTCTGAGTGCTTATTTAGTGGTGAGTAACGTCAATTTAGTATTTATATAATAAACTAATGCTAAATCATATTAAATTCAATTTATTCTCAATATAAATTAAATTTAATTACTATTCAATCAAAAAAGAAAAATTCGTATTTGATTCGTATCGATCTTTTGAAATGTATGTTCATTATATCACTGGCACGATTTGAATAATTGTCTGATAGTGGATACGAGGGTACGAGTACTTAATAAGTACGTGAACAAATATACGAAGTATGCAGTTTTTTACATATTTAAAACCGTAAAATATTTGCTTTCCAATATTGACAATAACTTAAAAGTTTGTTATAATTGGTATTGACACAAATCACTTTAACAGCGAAGAAAGTAAATTATCACTAAGTTAATTACTGGTGATGACGTATTAGCCAAATTTGTTTATGGCTAATGTAAGCAAAACTGCTATTACACAATGCAACATAAATTATTAATTGACTCCATTATATAAAAAAATAAAAATTTTTACAAAGAGTACAAACATACAAAAGTAAGTTGCGTTGTGAAACATATTAGCCCATAACTTAGTCTGTGATAGAAAAGTGATTACTAATCGAAAGATGTCGGTAGCAGCGCAACACTGAAGGTAACTGCCAGGTTAAAAATCTAGTTTGTCCTTACAGCTAAGACAAGGCATTCCTTCTTAGTAGATATGAACTAGGGTTGGTAATAGATTATCTAAGCGTCACAATGGTCTGCGTTACCGTCTCAACAAAAAAGTTCTGTCTGGGTAGACAGAATATTGTAAACAGATAAGATCTTTAATCAGCGAGATTACTAGGCCAAGAGTT